ATGTGATTACATCAGCGAGCAGTTGGACAGGTGTACCTAATAAAGTGGCGGTGAGTGTATTTTGTAACATGGAATAGTACTGTACTGTAATGTTTATATATTCCCCAGCTGTACATGATGGACATGCTTAAACAGCCCTTTTAACCGAGGCATGAATAGTTAAGATGCAAAAGAATTTCAGACGGCATTTAGAGGTTTTTGCATTTGAACTCGGTACTATGTGACTTTTGTGTGTGTCAGGAAGATCTATTAAGTGTGTGTGGCTCTCACAGAGATGCTCCGTGTTCCCGTTCTCTAAACCACTCCACAATCTGACAACAACTCCACAAAAAAACTCCAAAAAACTCTCTAAAACCTCTCAATGCTGGAGCGCTGCGGAGCATCATCTCTATGGCAGTTTCCCCCCTCAGGCCAGCAGCCAATCAGGTCGTCCCCCTCCCCGCCGAGGCTCCTGGGAATTGATGGCAGAGCGGTGCGTTACGCTGGTGACAGAGCGCCGCGGTTGTCAGGACTCGCTCTCTCCTGCAGTCGTTTTGTTGTTCCTCTTGCTGATACCTGAGGGACCATTAAGCTGAAAATAATTGGCTCCAGATCTCCTCCAGCCATCGATCCTTTGTGTCAGTGAACTCTCTGACATATACAGTAGACAGACACACACATGGCACAAACCCACGCTCGTGTGCATGTGTGTGTGTGTATATACTGCTCTCTCCAACAATAATCAAACACAGTGATGTATATTTGAAATTGTACACATTATGTCGAGGGGTTAATAGAATAATAAGCGTGTTTTGTTTGGTTTTATGTATTTTTAAAAAAAATTCCAACAGAAGCAAACGCAGGACTGGTGACTGTTAAGATTCAGAAAGAAGCAGCAGTTAGGTGTTAGACACATATTTATATGTATTTTATCAATCTTTTATTGGTCTTTTGTTTGACAAAACTAATAAAATATTGAGAGAGGTAAACGGTAATATATTGCCCTTTGTTATATTTATATTTATACAACAGTTCTGTCTGGTTCTCGAATCTGATTAGCTGATAGTCGTGAGATAGTCTACAGCCTCTTCACCCTTCTGTATTACTCCGCCCACCTAGAGTGACAGCAGCTCAATAAACTCACTACAGTTTGACAAATATAGCAGCTGTTGGACCATACCTGTCAACCCTCCCGTTTTTCCTGGGATTCTCCCGTACTTTACTTTTCTATCCCACTATCAACCCATACCGCCGAACCACCAGGGGTCACCCTTTGCTCTAAAACGCGAGCCTTCTGTGCTTTCGCTTTGTTTAGGAATGAAAATACCAAGTGTGCCGCAAGCCTACGTTTGAGTGAAGGTTTCGGCCGTTAGATCGCCCCCTGGGGGCTGGCTGCAGTACAAGTCATAAAGCCCGCCTCCTCCGTGTTAATGAAGGAGACTTGAGCCCAAATAAAAAAAAATATTACACTTGCAATAAAATGTCCCGAAAGATAGTTCTGGTCGATTAAGGCACTGGTTATTGTGCTGAAATAGGTGCAGATCTTCATTTTTGTAAACAGTTTGTTTTTAGCAGTAATTTAATGCTGGGCGTGTCATCGTGATTGACAGCTGTAATTGACAGTTTCTCAAAGCAGCGCGTCTGAGCTTCGGCAGGAGACTGAAGTAGACTGAAATGTTATTATTCAATTTCTGTGTTATTTTACCATGACAAAATGAGTTCAGCAGTAAACTATAGTTTCTGACATACATGATCCTGGTGGAACACTGTTTATTCGCTAAGTTCAGGGCTTTTTTCGGGCTTTATTAGTTTGCTGATACACGCCTAGCCACCCAGATAGCAAAACACAGTTCCGGCTAGATTCTCGCCTGCCGGAGACTTGTCTCTTAGAGCTCAGACTGACTAATGTTACCTCTGCTGGACCTACTCCGGATGCCTGGACTCACTACCCAATTCCAGCCCGAGTCAATCGAGCCAGATGCGGCGGCCGAGCGAGCAGGCGCTGCCGCATGCGAGCCGGAATCAGCCCGCGACGCCGCGAGTAACTTATGCGCTGCGGCCTGGAGCTGGCGCGATTGAATATATAAAACCCTCATATTTGTTAACATTATTACATCCATTTGTGTTGATATGACAGCAAACGCATGCTGAGAAGTTCAGGGGGCGTGGTTGATTTTACATAAAGCGTTTGATTGGAAGCTCGACTCTGCTCATTTTCGCGGCTCCTCCTCTGGCTCCATCAGACAGTCCTTCTGCGCATGTCTGGCTCCAATTTCAGCAGTCTTTTGCGACAGTTTGTGCCCGTCAAGCAGGCGTTTTGCCCTCAAGGCGTTCAATGGGAAAAAGGGCTGTCGCGTCGTCCATATTTTTTACAGTCATTGGAAAATACTTATAAATCAATATTAAAAAGGCGCGATTCCCTTTCCTTTTGATTACAGGTGCTGTCACCTATCCTATACAATCCTCAAAACTGTGTTTTCAAACACAACTAATTTCATCTTAAATTAGCATAAAAAGTTAGGAAAGCATTCAAATGCTTTCATTATAACGTGTGCATTTTTAAATTGACAATTCTTATTTAATGTAATTAAAAAATCTTATTAAATGCGAGATTCCGTTTCATTATAATATCTATTAATTTTAATAAGCTGAACAGTTTGCTAATGTATTTGCTGCTAATGTATATATTATTTTTCTTTTGTAATAATAATTTTAAAACATATTACTGACCATTTAACTGTTTATTTACAATGAAACTGCTAATAATGAACATATTTAGCAATTTGGGGATTTATTTAAGGGGGGTGGGTGTTTGGGGAATCCCTTATTATGGTGGGCATATCCCTTATTTTCACATCCCAATGTTGACAGGTATGTGTTGGACAACATAATGTACGTTTGAGGCTTTTTCGAACGAGAATATAGTTGTTTAGATTGCAACTGCAGTTTATTTAAAATGACAGTGCCTGTTTTAAATATTTATAATTTCAGAGATTCAGCACGTCGGCAGCCATCAGCTTGTCTTACTGAGCAGAGCAAAGACGGTTGCTGTTTCACCACAAGATGGCGACAGAGACCGCATAATAAGTCCTCAGGGGAGGAAACACTCTGTAAATTTCAAACTACAGCTGATCAAATCATAGAACTGGTAAGTGACATTATAAGTTGATCTCTCTCACTTGTATTTTGTAGTGCTGTATTTATACCATACTAACCTGGTAGTGTTTGCTTTGCTTTGGCTTTTTCGGGGGTCAATTATTGTGATCTGCTGATCAATGAAGGAAATCTATAGACTGATGGCATTTCATGCTGTTCAGCCTGATCTTAAAATGTCAGCATTTCACCGGTTGTGTCATCACTTTAGACATTACTCTAGAGAATGATTGAAATACTAGTTAGTCAAGTAGTTATACTAATTAGTAACGGTTTCTGCTCTTCTGATGTCAGCTGCAGATGTGAATGATCGGTGGAGGAAAGTAGTTCCTCATACAAACAGATTTTTGAGACTCTCAGTGATTTTTTTTATTTTTATATACACAATAATGTCGTCAAACTGTTGCATAAACGCAATATCACACTCGTAGCAGTGCAATGTGGCTGTATATTGTTGCTGGTGGGACACTAAGCCAACACACATCTCCCACCAGTGCCGATATACTGCCATATTGCACTGCTACGAGTGTGATATTGCTCACTTGTTATATTACAAAATGAAACAAAGTTCTTTTCAGACTTGCAAACATGTCAAAATATTTATATATAAATATACATATATATAAATAAATAAATATATATATATATATATATATATATTTATTTTTATATATATATATATATATATATATATATATATATATATACACACACACACACACACACACACACACACATATATATATATATATATATATACACACACACACACACACATATATATATATATATATACATACATATATATATATATATATATATATATTTTATATATATATATTTATATATAGTATTTTAAGGAACTGAAATGACCGCACCATTGACCAGGGCCGGAGTGGGACTCTTTTTCAGCCCTGGAGTTTCAAGCCTCAGACCAGCCCACCTCAGTTCACGACTGACTATATTAAAATAAGGTCATTTCCAATTCAGTTTCTAATTACACTATCACATCTTTTTTTGAGAAAACAGCTGCTTTAGAACTTTAAATGTTCAACAACCCTAACAGTATTATATGTCTTAACAATAAAAATGAAAAAGAAAAAAATAACATACTCAGACGAGGATCAAACCCGGGTTGGCAGCATTGTATTCTAACTTGCTAACCACTGGACCACAACAGATAATGAATAAGAAGACTGTGGTCAAGTAAATAAATAGATTAATTTAAAAAGTGTGACTGCTGAGAGCAACAGATTCTGGAGCTAGGGACACCGGCCCTCGCGGCCAAAAAACGGACCGGCCCACCGGGAATTCTCCCGGTCCTCCCGATTAGCCAATCCAGGCCTGCCATTGACCAACTAAAAGCTGAAGTCTAATGTCCAGCGCAGAGCGCTTTAGTTATGCGCCTATTCAGGTCCAAACGCTTAAACGTTGCTTAATACACACAAGATGTTCAGCTATACTGAAATATCTTCACAGATGAAAAAAAAAATCAAAAGACTAAAATGATTCTTGTCTACATCAGGGGTCACCAATCCTGGTCCTGGAAGGCTGGTGTCTCTGCAGGGTTTAGCTCCAACTTGCCTCAACACACCTGCCTGCATGTTTCAAGTATACCTAGTAAGACCTTGATTAGCTTGTTCAGGTGTGTTTGATTAGGGTTGGAGCTAAATCTGCAGGACACCGGGAACTCCAGGAACAAGTTTGGTGACCCCTGGTCTACATAAGTATAACACCACTGCCTCCATGCCTTCTTCACCTCAGTCGGCTTTTCAGTTTATTCATGACAATCTGCATCTGTATAGTGTTATTATCAGTAGTAGTATTATTTATTATATGCATATTTATTTTTGTTTTTAAATGTCACTTAAAGCTAAATACTAGTTTCTTCGAAAAACATGTAGCCTAGCATACTTGTATACAACTAAATAAAATAAATGATTAGTAATTAGTTATTAAAACTTATGTTCACAACTGTGTTAAAAAATAGGCAGAAAAAAAATATAGCAGAGCTAATAATTCTGACTTCAACTCTACGACGCTAATGTCCTGCTGGTTCCTCTATCCCCATGAGAGGGCGCTGTCCCCCAGCATCCCACTGACCCGGGGCGGCTGTGAATAACAGAGACTCTGCCCTTGCGTGAAGTGAATTTATCTTCCGCTGTCTCCCTTCATGTTCATTCAGCCAAAAGGCGCGTTTGATTAAATCTCCAATCGTTTGTCATCATCTCCAGCCCCTTGACGCTGAAAGAAACACCTTCCCGGCTGCCGTATTAATGCGAGTTCCTCAAAAGCGTCCTGGCCTTTATGAAAAACATCCCGAGATTCATCAAGGACGCGTGTCATGTGCTGTGGTAATGAGGAGGGTCTTTTTATTTGCACAGTCTCCCTCCTTCCCCGCTTGCCTCGATATTAATTAACTCCTCGGCCACGTGCATTAGAAACAGGTCAGCCATAATCCGATGTGTTTGTTATTATATCTTACTGTATCACGTACAATTAGACCGATTCTCTCGCAGAGCATTCGATATGTTGTCAGATTAATTGGAGTTAATCGCTTGTCGCTGTGAGAAATACATTGCAAAGTTGAACTGGGTATGTGTGTGTGTGTGTGTGTGTGTGTGTGTGTGTGTGTGTGTGTGTGGGCACTGCAAAAATGCTTTACTTCGATTGGTTTCTTGTGCAAATGTATGAAAGTTCTTAAATCAAGAAGCATTTTCTAGACAATCAAATCATATGGTCTTGTTTTATATAATAATAAATAATACGCCAAATTTGAATGAATTTTACCTTAAAACAAGCCAAATAATTTGCCAATGAGGTAAGCAACATAATTTTACGTTAAATGGAAAAACAAGACTATTTTGCTCACAAAATTGGGAGATTATTTAGCTTGTTTCAAGGGAAAACTCACTTTATTTAGATTTATTTTTCTTAAAACAAGGCAATATTTTTGCCTAAGTCTCCTTGATTCAAGAATTTTTTAGTAAGAAACGTTTTTTTTTTTTTTGCAATGTGTGAGTGTGTGTGTGTGTGTGCTAGTTTAACAACACTCACCGGCCACTTTATTAGGTACAACTGCTCGTTAACAAAGATTGGAGAAGTAAGTATTGCAGATAATGTAACAACAAATTGGGCATATTTTATAAAGTACTACATTATCAAAATTGAAGCAGTTTGAAAGTAATGTATAAAAAAAAAAAATATATATATATATATATATATATATATATATATATATATATATATATATATATATATATATATATATATATATACATACATATATATACACACACACACATGTATTATAAATATCTTAAATGGCCAGTTTTACTGAAAATGAAAGAAATGCAGTTTAGGATAATCAATAACACATATCTAGCAGCAGAAATTTTATGAAAAAAATTCAGATTTGAGGTAGAACCTTGTGTTTTTTGTTAAGAAGAGCTTAAAAATCATTGAACATCTATTTTTCTCTTGTCCAGTCACAATGTTTTGGCCTTTGCAGTTGGCTAAACAACAATATAGATACTGACATTCCATCTCTAAATGTGATCAATGTTTTGGTTTATGCAGATGGTTTTCCCCAAAAAAATTCATTGATGTTAAACAGTATTATACGAAAAGATATTATATACACAAAATTAAGTGGAATAACGGTAAACCCTCGATTAATTAAAAAAAATTAATGTAAAACAAATTTAGAGGCTTTAAAAGTAGTATCCAAAGAAAATAGGGCTACAGAGGAACTATACAAAACTATGGCTGAGTCTCTTTCCTTTTAAAAATGTGTCTTGTTAATGTTATGCATTAAAATGTGTGTATGCACTGTATAATGTAAATGTGATTGGAAGTGTGTATGTATTGTTATATGCCGTTTTTGTTCCCCATTTGAGTTTGTAAATTGAAAAATGTAAAAAAAATAAATAAATAAATAAATAAAAAAAAAAGCTGCACAATCAGTCAATTACAAGCAGTGGCGCCCCCCAGAAAATTTTCTTAGGGGTGGCCAGAAGAGGCCGCACCAAATCTTGGGGTGGCACAAACAAAAAAATGAATTCAGTGTAATGTTATACTTTTGTTATAATGTGGTATTAATTTATTTAACTAATTACTCTTGAAATGTTGCAATTTATTCCTCCTTGAAATAATTCAGCAAGTAGATGTGCAAACCAAATAAAAATCAATATTTAGTTTAAAAACACTTGTCACATATATAAGTAACTTGTTTTTCAGTTATTAGTTTCAGTAATAGGATTAAGGCAGTTCTGAAGGCAAAAAAGAGTCCAACCCGGTACTAGTAAGGTGTACCTAATAAAGTGGCCGGTGAGTGTACATCAACATCCTTTCTACAAACAAAATGCATGTTAAGTCTTTTAAAAAATGTATATCAAGCGAGTTTATGCTTAAAGTAGGGATTTGTCATTGGAGTAAGAAAAATAAACTTAATTCAAAGAGAAAACAAGATTATTCTTGCTGAGCCCTCTGACTATTTCGTTTGCTTTAGGCGTAAGTGCACTTCATTTTTCATTTAACAAGATTTCATATCAAGTAACTTTGCTATATGAATGTCTTGATTTAAGAATGTTTGGATATTGTACAGCAATAGAAAGCAAGACAAATTCTCATTAAAAGAAAGTCACTGAAATGAGAAATGTAAGCACAATTTAAAGGCATATTTCACCCAAATTGTTAAAAGTATCAAGTACAATTTAAGGGATAGTTCACACAAAAATAAAAATTGTCATTATTAAGTACAATTTAAAGGGATAGTTCACCCAAAAATATAAAATTTGTCATTATTAAGCACAATTTAAAGAGATTGTTCACACAAAAATATAAAAGTTGTCATCATAAAATACAATTTAAAGGGATAGTTCACCCAAAAATATGAAAACTGTCATTAAACACAATTTAAAGGGATAGTTCACCCAAAATAAAAATGGTCATCATTAAGTACAATTTAAAGGAATAGTTCACCCAAAAGTTTAAATTGTCAAGTACAATTTCAAGGCATAGTGCACACAAAAATAAACATGGTCATTATTAAGTATACTATTTAAAGGGATAGTTCACCAAAAAAAAAAAAAAATATATATATATATAGATATGTCTTCATGAAGTACAATTCTAAGTGATGGTTCAATCAAAAATTTAAAAACGTCATCATAAATTACAACTTAAAGGGATAGTTCACTCCAAAATATAATAATTGTCATCAAGCTCATTTTAAAAGCATAGATCACCCAAAAATATAAAAATAGTCATAAGTAGGTACAAGTTAGAGAGATAGTTTAAAATAAAAATGTCATAATTTATTCACTCTTCACTACTTAAAAACCTGTTTGAGTTTTTTTCTTCTGTTGAACACAAAAGAAGATGTTTTGTAGAATGCTGTTAACGGGCATCCATTGACTTCCATTGTTTTGAAATTGCGATATGAATATAGTTTCATAAGATGACTTATAACTCTATTTGGAATGAATATTTTTACATGGATTGGGATTATTTTGAAAATGAGTATCTGTGTTGAGCAGTGGTTCTCAAAGTATTTTCACCAAGTACCACCTCAGAAAAAAATTGTCTCTCCAAGTACCACCCTAATCAACAGTATTGAAATAAATTAGCGCAGTTGGCCAAATTAAGCAGCCACAGCACTGCACAGTTGCAAAAGTGGCAGAGTCATATTCATTTAACGAAATTACATTCCATACAAAATATGAAGCCGATCAGTCAGTTTTTGTCACGTGACTCGCGGTGCGGCATTCTGAAAAGTTAACATGTTTTCAACTGCGGATGCCTGGAATACGCAAGCACGTCGTGCTGCAGTTCTTACTCATTTTGCTAGTCTGAGGGTTGCATTTTAGCACTCAAGTGACTGAGATGTAACAAGAATACGGTCATTTTTCAAAATAAAAGATTTTTTAAATTGGTTAATGGTGGTCACTGAAATTGAATCAATACTGGGTTTTGAGATTGATCATAGCTTTGGTACTATATATTTAGGAAACATACAAACCGATTTTAATGCACAAGACAAAAACCTTCTCAAAATACTATTAGTTGCTAGTAAAAAAGCATTAACCAAGAAATGGTTGGAAGAGATTCCACCAACAAAGGATGAGTGGATAACAATTGTAGATAATATGTTTGAAATGGAGAAACTCACCTTTTCTTTAAGACTAAACATGGATAAATGTTATAAAAATTGGTCAAAATGGTTTATATATAAGAATACAGAAAATATATAATTTGCTAGGAAATGCTTTGCAATGAGTGCGAACCCCCCTCCTCCCCTTATTTATATTTATTTATATTTGTTATTTTTATTATGACTTATTTTTTCAATAAATGTACATATATATGTATATTATATATGTGAAATATTTTGTTTGGACCGCACATTACAGATTGTAAAAGACTGAATCATATGGACTTGAAGGAAACTATGTTGGTGTTTATGCTTCTAATACAGTACCTTTGACGGGCGGGTTAGGGTGGGGGGCTAATGGGAGAGTAACCTGTACTATAAAAACGACTGTATAAGAACAATGTAATAGTTGTATGTGATGCCTCTGGTGATCTGTTTGTTCCGTTATGTTAAAGGGCACATAGGTTACCCCTTTTTTCAGATTTAATATAAGTCTTTTGCGTCTCTAGAATGTGTATATAAAGTTTCAGATCAAAATACCCATCAGATTTTTCATTATACCTTTTACAAGATGCTGTTTTATACTGATTTCCAGCAGGGGGTGGTTTTGTCGTACTGCGCCTTTAAGACGAGTTTTTCCCGCCTACTATTTCTACATGCCTCCTCCCTCAGCTGCGTCAGACAACAGACAGACTTAAAGGAAGAAGGTCTCGCGTAGCGTTTGTGAGATACTACAGTAAGAACTAACCTTTACTAATCAGTATAGTGAAGTTGCATTGATGAGTCACACACAATATCGTTACAAAGTAAACGCGCACACACACACACACACACACACACACAGATACACACGCAGGCAGGCAGGCAGACAGACAGAGCGCGCTTAGCTTAGTTAAGGCTAACCTCAAGTACTGTGTGGATATCTGTTATGCTAATGTACAAAATAAACCTGATTTAACTTCCACAAACCGGGATTGAAGCGTCTTCTTTTATAATTGATCTGACACGCGGCTGTGCTGATGAAGTAAAGCTGAAGTAAAACGCTGTAATTAATTACACACATACTCTGTTTTAAAACACTTTAAACATGTGAAACTCACTCTTAATCACATTTGATGATGATTACTGATGCTAGCGAACAGAACAGACCTTTTATTCCCGGTTGCTTTGCGTATGTCTGTCTGGTCTTGTTGACATATACACGCGACTACCGGAACATGTTAATGCACGCAGCTGTCAATCAATTCGGTGGGCGGGGGGATCGCACACCTACGTAATGGTGCGATCGATTTGAAAACAGCTCCAATTGGCCGACCCTTTTTTTTGTAGTTAAATTGAAAAAAAAGGACTGGGTGTGTTCATATCACCCCAGTATGACGGTCTGTACACTATACCAACACACAGATCTGTCCAAACAGCTTGAAAAGTAGATTTTTTACCAAAGGTGCCCTTTAAAATGAAATAAAAAACAAAAGTTTAAAAAAAAAAAAGATTTTTTTAAAGTAAATGATCGTTCAGACTCAGATTATGAATAAAACTGAAATAATTCATTATTTTTTTTTTCGTGTGGCCAGCGACCAATTGATCTATAGGCCGGTGCCGGTCTGTGGCCCGGGGGTTGGGGACCACTGCTCTAGCACATATCTGCTCTGCAAGCACCACACACCTCTTTCTCTAGTTCTGCGCCAATTAAATTGATTTTTAGCAGCTGATGACGCGATGCACTAAAGTTAACATTTTAAACACATTGCTTTAATTGTACGCTTTAGAGAACAGCCAATGCAGATCACATTGGTGTTATTGTACGCATTAAATGATTAAAATTGTATTAATTTTTCTTTCATTACTGATTGCGTACCAATAGTGTTACACATACCACAGTTTGAGATCCTCTGGTGTAGAGTACAATGCAATTGAACAAATGCGAATTAATTTTATGGTTTTCTATGGAAATCTAACAGTATTGAGGTACAGAAATAATAATAGATAAAATAACACTGCATAGCGTCAAGTCTTCATTGTGTAAATAAATGATACACTTAATTTTGGTTTAAATACCTTTATAATCTCTTAGTTTAAGTTTACTTAAATCATAGTCACAGATCTTAAAAACACTTCTAAATGAAAATCTTTCACTCTATTTTAGGGTTTAAATTAAATTTAAAACTTAATGTGATGACTCCACAAATCACATGTTCTGAACTGTGATGGTGATCAACTTTAATCCCAACGTGACATTGCATATCCTGCGATGTGACTATTGCAGACATTGTGATGTTGATAAATTGTGCAGCCCTAAATAACCATATGAAGTGATCTAGTATAGTGTTCCACTTGGGATCGCAGTAAATGCATATCCTATGCTGTTGAGTGTGTTAGTGCGTAGTGCATTTGTGTAAAGCAGGGGTGTCCAAACGGTGTCCTGCATATTTTAGCTCCAACCCCAATTAAACACACCTGAACCAGCTAATCAAGCTCTTTCTAGAGCTGCGTCCCAAATCGCATACTTGTGCACTGTTCTACGCCATTTTGTAGTATAAATAGTGTAAGTAGTGTGTTCAAACTGAAAACTCTAAAGATAATAAGTGCACTTTAATTACCCGGTGATGCACTCATTCAGCCGCTAAAATGAAGTGTGGACCAATGGACACTTCACGCACTCAACGACCGAAGGTTTGCTAACGTAGCGGAAGGGGCAAAGCTATCGGGCGCACATGTTGAATAACTTTATTTATTTTGGATGGTGAAAGCAAAATTCTCCTACGACAGTGATTATAGCGCCTCCCGATGGTGAATGCGGTTATACTCGCGGCAGGTATTATTTGATAATTCGGTTGTTTATTTCACTGATTTGGCAACCGTCAAACGTCATCAGGGAAACGGTTTGAATTTCCGGTTAGTAAAAAAACATTAGTGTGCCATTTGGGACGCCACTACATACATTTACTATCCTGTTGAGTTTGTAAGTGCATAAGTGCATAGTGCATGAGTGTATAGTGTGCCATTTGGGAGGCAGCTCATGTATACTAGAAACTTCCAGGCAGGTGTGCTGAAGGAAGTCGGAGCTAAACTATGCAGGACACCGGCCCTCCAGGACCGAGTTTGGACACCAAAATCTGTATCCAAAATCGACCCCTTTAGCTTTAAATAGAACAAGAGCTTGAACAAGGAGTTGAGCTGCATGTTCAGATAGGAAGGGTCGGACCTTTCTGATGTTATAGAGTGCGAATCTGCAAGATCGAGCAGTAGAAATGTGGTCAGAGAAGCTTAGCTGGTCATCAATCGTTACTCCAAGGCTTTTCAGCATTTTGGATGCAGTAATGGTTGCCCCGTCCATCTGGATTGAAAAGTTATGATGTAGAGTCAGGTTGGCAGAAATTTCAAGCATTTCCGTTTTCTCGAGGTTAAGCTGAAGCTAGAAAATACCTCATATAGTCATTAAAACCATATAAAGGGAGAATAAATTAGTTCATTTTCAATTGTTGGTAAACTAAGCCCTAAAGTTTTTTTGTTTTTATTTGGCCCTGCAGGTAAAAATGATGCATTTGATCGCATAAACACACTATTTTAGATTGAAAATCCAATGTAATTCGTTAGACATGGCGAGATCTGACGCATGTTCGCATGAGTTTCAAAGTTTGTCAGCTTTTAGAGTATGCATCTTTACTTTGTGTTTGTGCTGCCGCGATTAAACTGACTGTACTTCTTTTTCTATTAATTGCTGTGTTTCAGGTCAGTGATTCCTGCTCTTAATTGTGGCGGTAGAGAGCAGGGGTGAGGAGGCTGTACGGGCCACGCGGCTGTGTTTTAATGGGGAGATGCGCTATAATAACTCTGACCTCTGACCTTTTGTGGTGACTAAAGCTCATTACGCTGATCTGTGAGTGTCAGAGCATCATCTGAGAGCGTGTGTGTGCTCGGTAAGGTGGGTCACAGGAGCGACGCTGACACAACCTCACCCTCATCTGCAAATAAAACACAAACGCGTGCACACACACACTAATTAAAATAGGAAAGAAGGCCACTGTTTTCTGGCCAGTGTCAGTGGCATTTCTTCATGCATGGATGGTCAGTGTATACTTTATTTGTTTGTTTTTTTAGTCAACACATAACATTGTCCAGTCTTATGTTATCAGTCTTGCTCAGGCTTTTACAAACCAATAAATGGAGTAATCACAGAATGTGTTGCTAATGTTAGTTTACTTTAATTAGAGGTAAGTCAATTGTTTGTTGGCGTTTGCATGGTTGGTAATGGACAGTGTTGGGCACGTTCCTTTAAAAGAGTAATTAGATATACACTCACCTGCCACTTTATTAGGTACAACTTACTACAACCGGGTTGGCTGCTGAATTGAGATCTGGTGATTATGGAGGCCATTTGAGTACAGTGAACTCATTTTCCTGTTCAAGAAACTAGACTGAGATGATTCACGCTTTATGACATGCCGTGTTATCCTGCTGGAAGTAGCCATCAGAAGATGGGTACATTGTGGTCATAAAGGGATGGACATGGTCAGCAACAATTCTCAGGTAGGCTGTGGCGTTGACACAATGCTCAGCTGGTACTAATGGGCCCAAAGTGTGACAAGAAAATATCCTCCACACCATTACACCACCACCACCAGCCTGAATCATTGATACAAGGCAGGATGGATCCATGCTTTCATGTTGTTGATGCCCAATTCTGACTTTACCATCCAAATGTGGCAGCAGAAATGGAGACTCATCAGATCAGGCAACGTTTCTCCAATCTTCTTTTGTCCAGTTTTGGTGAGCCTGTGTGAATTGTAGCCTCAGCTTCCTGTTCTTAGCTGACAGGAGCGGCACCCGTTGTGGTCTTCTGCTGCTGTAGCCCATCTGCCTCAAGGTTGGACGTGTTGTGTGTTCAGAGATGCTCTTCTGCAGATCTCGGTTGTAACGAGTGCTTATTTGAGTTACTGTTGCCTTTCTATCAGCTGGAACCAGTCTGGCCATTCTCCTCTGACATCAACAAGACATTTGCCCCTACAGAACTGCCGCTCATTGGATATGTTCTCTCTTTCAGACCATTCTCTGTAAACCCTAGTTATGGTTGTGCGTGAAAATCCCAGTAGATCAGCACTCAGACCAGCCCGTCTGGCACCAATGTCTACACGCCTAAATGGAATGAATTGTCGCCTTGTGATTGGCTGATAAGAAATTTGTTAAATAGTGTACCTAATAAAGTGGCCGGTGAGTGTAGTTACTAGTAATGTCTAGACATGTCACTCGTGTACTTTCATTCATTCATTTTCTTGTCGGCTCAGTCCCTTTATTAACCTGGGGTCGCCACAGCGGAATGAACCACCGACTTATCTAGCAAGTTTTTTACGCAGCGGATGCCCTTCCAGCCACAACCCATCTCTGGGAAACATCCACACACACAATCATACACTACGGACTATTTAGCCTACCCAATTCACCTGTACTGCATGTCTTTGGACTGTGGGGGAAACCGGAGCACCCGGAGGAAACACACGCGAAGGCAGGGAGAGCATGCAAACTCCACACAGAAACACCAACTGAGCAGAGGTTCGAACCAGCAACCCAGCGATCTTCATGCTGTGAGGCGACAGCACTACCTAGTGGGCCACTGCCTCGCCTCGTGTACTTTTGAATGTTGAAAAGTTTAACAGTCAAAATGGCGAATGAAGCCCCGCCTTTTAGTACAGGAGCCAATCACAGATCGCTGTAGAATGACAACTCTCTGGGGGAAGCGCTCAGACCCGACTTGAGTTTCTGCAGATTTTGTGTGATACAAACATTTATAAATGAAATCAAATAGACAGTTGGTGTTTAATTTAATTGGTTATTCGTAATATGGAATTTAATCGTAAGCTTGGCAAGCAGTTTTGGAGAATTTGATGTTTTTTCCATTCAAACAGAATGCCTGAGAGGTGTTTCAAAGATGGCCGCCGAGTGAAATGAATTGCCTTAAAGGGTCACGAAACACCAAAACATATTTTTTGAGCTGTTGACAGTCGTATATGTGTCCCACACTGCTAGAAACACTATTAGGACACCTATATTTCACTAAAAAGTGTAAATTGGTTGTTTTTGCGTTATTTCAAGCAAATTCGTACTTCCTGTTTGAAACTAATTTTTGAAGCTGCGTCACGGCCATGACATAATAGCGTGTATTCCAGCATGCAGACTGGACGTCTGTGCCAGAGTGTGTCTTATTACGTCTTACAGTGTGATGCATTAATGCATGAGTAAGGCTTGGTTCAAACCAATCAGCGCGCTCTATTGTGCAACTTCATTAATATTCATTACTGTCACAGTGTTTAGACGACAGAGACGCCACGTTGTGTTGGCAAAACAAGCGTGAAGTGTTGCTTTTATAGTTTGCTGCAGTGAAGTTTTGTTTTCATTTTCTCTCTGTGAGAGCTCAGCTGGAGTCACGTGTGGATTAACAGTGTATGCGACGCTCGACAACAATAACTTACGTGTCTAAGGAGGATTATTGTTTACCTGAGAGCTGTTCTCATCTGCAAACGCTGAGATCCGGATTCGCTTGTAGTCTTCTCTTCATAAAGACGCGGCTCTAGTTGCTGGTGATTGTCCTGTCTCTACAGATTTGGTAAGTGAGCGACCAGTGCTCTTTGTTATTCAGTTTGTTCGTATCGAACTAAGTTAACTATTGCACCGAGTGTAAACATATTAGGACCACAACCAAACTTTAACCTCGTGTAGGATTTTCACCGCATTTTGTGACCGGAATAACACACGCGGCTTTCTGACACTATCTGCCGTGTGCATCTAAGTTTCCGGGAAATGCTGAGGTTTTTTTTCTCTCATTCGTCGTGCGGTATCAAACATTGCATGAAAAATACACGCTTAGACCAGATCCTAAAATCAAATATCTCGTTTGTCGCGAGGGACATGAATGAATTCCCTGAATGAAAGAGCCAAACTGCAGTTAAAGTCCACCATTTAATAATTTGGCAAATAATTCGACTACAGATGTCCATGTAGGCTAAACACCATCACTTTCTCCTGTGTGTTTATTTTGACTCTGAAACTCGCGCGTGCCCAAATAGACACTCCCACACCCTCCCACTTTAGTTCCTCCGACACTCCCCCTAAACAGAGCTGGACACGCCCACTTTTCTGACTTTTTCCAAAGTAGAGGTGTGAAAACACCCTGCTGAAACGAGGGGGTTTCATGGCCCTTTAAAGAGACTTTGTTACTAGTTACTTCTCACAAATAGAAACTGAGTTAGTAACTGAGTCGTACTAGAAAACAAGACAACATTGAGGAGTAAGAAATTAAAATGTAGAAATGTTAATATATGTGACCCTGGACCTGTTCTTTCATTGTATGTTACACAGATGTACTTTAAGAATAGCTAAAAATACATTGTCAAAACTATCATACATTTTAATGCAAAAAATCATTACAATTTTAAGCAAAGATGCATGTTGTTGTAAATTTTCCTACTGTAAATATATCAAAACTTAATATATATGTTGCTAAGATCTTAATTTGAACAACTTTAAAAATTATTTTCTCAATATTTAGATATTTTTACCCCTTATATTCACTGAAAAAAAGTGCTGCCTGCAGAACTGTTGCAAACAATTTATTTTGTTGAATTTAAACAAACAAATTAAATTTAATTATGTTCAACCTAATTTGTTTGTTTAAATTCAGCCCAAATAAAGTAAATGTTGTTATTATCATCAGTATTATTTATTATATCCATATTTATATTTGTTTTATTAAAAACAAGCTTAGATTTGCCCACCTGTCAGGTTTTAGACCATATGGGGCACAGCATGTGTTTTAGGATATAACACAGGTTTTTGAGCACATTTTGTTATTATTATTCATTTATTCGTTTGCTGGAAATTAGAACTGAATTTAGAAATAGTTTTGAAACGAATATTTGCGCTTAAACAAAATTATTTATTTACAGTATAGCCTAATTGATGTCTTTGTGTAAAGGTTTCCCTATCCAAGAGCGAATGTGAAAGTGATCCATTATCTCTCATTCTCACGCAGTAGATGCTCTGTTTAACTGTTTTCTGTTAAAAAACTGTTAACTGTTTGCTTGTGAAATGCTCATTTTTTCCACTTAGACTTACTTTGCGTCCTGTAAATAGCGAATGCGCTCTTGGCGCGATGCAGCTGGGTCTTAAAGGGAATGGGAGATGAGACTCTGATTGGTTTATTCTCAAAACACACCTATAACTCATTAAGAAAATAAACTCAATCCTTTTAGACCATGCGCCTTGGCGCAAGGCAGATTTCCCGTCCTTAAATTAGCAAAAACGCGTCCTGACATGCCCTGAAAGCGTTTGCGCCCTGCGTCGTGCTCTACGCATGGACCGTCAAAATAGAGCCCTTAGTCTTTGTTATTCCAAGTCATGTTATTATGAGTGTGTGAACAAAGTAAACAATGAGGCTGAAAATAAAGTTATATTAATATCAACAGCAACACTCTCGCTATTATAATGAAACCGAATCAAGCTATCAGATCTCATTAGCCATTTCTTCACTGTATAACTCACACATTCTGATTAAAGAGCAGCAAATGAATCTCTTATTTATTTACATTTTTTTCGTTTGATTACATAAGGTGTCATTTTAAAAATGCGCACATCTGTCATTATAATGAAAGCATTTGATTGCATTCCTAAATTTTTATGCTCATTTAGGGCGAAAACCCACCAAGATCGACATCTTTAGATGTTATTATTATTATTATTAATTTTGTGTATATGTCTGTGTAAACACGCACTTAAAACCCAGACTTTTGTTCCGCTTCAAATCACGAGTACAGAATCCATTTGGGAAACAAAAGTGTCTATTTATCACTATGGAGCTCGTCAGCTGACAGTCACGCACCGCTATATGACTGTTTTGAGGATTGCATATGAAGGGGAGACCTGTAATGAAAA